AACTCTTTCAATTTTCATTTAATCTCCTGCGTATTTCCGCGCGAAAGCCTCGCCGCCGACCACGCCGACGTTTCTTCGAACACGTATTTTCCCCCGCCGGGAAACGGTGGCGAGAAACCGGTGGTATATCGAAAATAATATACACCGTGAAACGAAGTTATATTACGTTTATATAAATAGAGAGTTAGGTTTCAATTCTCCATGGTCCAGCGTGCGAACGAACCGTTAATACGCGATGAATTTGCATCGAGCTGCAACGACTTGGCTGCGTTGAACACCTACGAAATGGGAAGTTTGTAGGTGGTCGTAACTGCTCCCTATATATATATACATATATATCGTATAAAATTCTTGCTCTGTCGGTCTGATCGATAAATCCAACGCGTGCTACCGTACCCATAGTTTCGAGAGAAACCAGGGGAGGAAGAAGAGGAACCGCGTTGATTTATGTCACGGTAAATTACGGAATTATTCCACATCTTAATGCTTGCCTTTACCTCTAGCTACGAGCAACCCTTTCGAGCCTCGTACACGAGGTTAGCACGCGATCAATCCAAAAGTGATTCTCCCGACCTTTCCACACCGGTCGCTGCTCCGTCACAGCTCTTAATTGCTTTCTAAGGGTGTTCGGCGAGCTCGATCAACGACGAATGCTCGCTCCTGTCGCGCCGCATTTTCGCGATTACCAAACTTTCCTCGCCCTTTTCCGCTATCCCTGTCGAACGATATCCTCGAGCGATTGGCCATTTTATCCAAGTGGAAACTCGACGCGTCCAACTTTTTTGGACGATGGCGCGACAACAACGAGCGACCGGAACGGCTGCCGCTTCGCGCTTCCGACTTCGACTTTCGGGGGAGGAGGAGAGAGAAAGAGAGAGAGAGAGAGAGAGAAGTTTTGCATTTTTACGAGATCCTCCGCCCCCATCCGACCGTACATAACACACCGGGTCACCCGTAGCTTTCTACGTGGTTTCTGGCGTCGTCCTATAATTCCTGCGCGACAACAATTTATACGAAAAGTATTTTTCACCTTTTGCCGCGCCTTTTTCCACGGACATCCCCTCCCTCCCGAGAAATCGTCTCGCGCGCCAAGAAACCGCGAATCCTGGATTCGGC